TGGGGTAAGGTAGTCTAGTAATTTGAGGTTGTAAGATTGAGGTAAGGTAATCTAGTAATTTGATGTTGTAAGATTGAGGTAAGGTAATCTAGTAATTTGAGGTATTTGAGGTTGTAAGATTGAGGTAAGGTAGTCTAGTAATTTGAGGTTGTAAGATTGAGGTAAGGTAATCTAGTAATTTGAGGTATTTGAGGTTGTAAGATTGAGGTAAGGTAGTCTAGTTATTTGAGGTTGTAAGATTGAGGTAAGGTAATCTAGGTATTTGAGGTTGTAAGATTGAGGTAAGGTAATCTAGTAATTTGAGGTATTTGAGGTTGTAAGATTAAGGTAAGGTAATCTAGTAATTTGAGGTATTTGAGGTTGTAAGATTGAGGTAAGGTAATCTAGTAATTTGAGGTATTTGAGGTTGTAAGATTGAGGTAAGGTAATCTAGGTATTTGAGGTTGTAAGATTGAGGTAAGGTAATCTAGTAATTTGAGGTATTTGAGGTTGTAAGATTAAGGTAAGGTAATCTAGTATTTTGAGGTATTTGAAGTTGTAAGATTGAGAATAAGGTAATCTAGTAATTTGAGGTATTTGAGGTTGTAAGATTGAGGTAAGGTAATCTAGTAATTTGAGGTATTTGAAGTTGTAAGATTGAGGTAAGGTAATCTAGTAATTTGAGGTATTTGAGGTTGTAAGATTGAGGTAAGGTAATCTAGTAATTTGAGGTATTTGAAGTTGTAAGATTGAGAATAAGGTAATCTAGTAATTTGAGATATTTGAGGTTGTAAGATTGAGGTAAGGTAATCTAGGTATTTGAGGTTGTAAGATTGAGGTAAGGTAATCTAGTAATTTGAGGTATTTGAGGTTGTAAGATTAAGGTAAGGTAATCTAGTATTTTGAGGTATTTGAAGTTGTAAGATTGAGAATAAGGTAATCTAGTAATTTGAGGTATTTGAGGTTGTAAGATTGAGGTAAGGTAATCTAGTAATTTGAGGTATTTGAGGTTGTAAGATTGAGGTAAGGTAATCTAGTAATTTGAGGTATTTGAAGTTGTAAGATTGAGAATAAGGTAATCTAGTAATTTGAGGTATTTGAGGTTGTAAGATTGAGGTAAGGTAATCTAGTAATTTGAGGTATTTGAGGTTGTAAGATTGAGGTAAGGTAATCTAGTAATTTGAGGTATTTGAGGTTGTAAGATTGAGGTAAGGTAATCTAGTAATTTGAGGTATTTGAAGTTGTAAGATTGAGGTAAGGTAATCTAGTAATTTGAGGTATTTGAGGTTGTAAGATTGAGGTAAGGTAATCTAGTAATTTGAGGTATTTGAAGTTGTAAGATTGAGGTAAGGTAATCTAGTAATTTGAGGTATTTGAGGTTGTAAGATTGAGGTAAGGTAATCTAGTAATTTGAGGTATTTGAGGTTGTAAGATTGAGAATAAGGTAATCTAGTAATTTGAGGTATTTGAGGTTGTAAGATTGAGGTAAGGTAATCTAGTAATTTGAGGTATTTGAGGTTGTCAGATTGAGGTAAGGTAATCTAGTAATTTGAGGTATTG